CTCACAAAAAAGCGGGATTCTGTGTAAAAAAAAAAAAAATAGGTTTTTTTCTCTTTTTCCCTCTCTGGTCAGTAACCAAGATGGCTGCTGATTGGGTGAGAGGGATGCCCTAATGCAGCCCCTCAGCTCTGCAGCTCAGGCAGAGAGGGACAGGCCCAGATCTGGGTTTTTTTCCTCTAGTAAGTGGGTACTTCAAAGGGTTGAGGACAGGGATGGGAGGAGTGAAGCTGGGCCGGGGGCATCAGAGCCAGGTGGGGGTGGAAATTGTGACCAGACCATGGCCCAGCCAGGGTAGGGAGGGGGCAATGGGATAGTGACAGTCCATCCCCATGCCTGCATGGGGCCATGGAGACTTATTTCCCCCCTCCCTGCAGGCCAGATCCAGAGCCAGGCAGGGCCAGATTGGGGCCGAGTAGGATGGCAGCAGCCTGTCTCCATGCCCACAGAGGGCCAGGGAGGGACCAGAGGGGCTTATTTTTCCCCTGTGGAAGCCAGGGCTAGGTGGGGAGTGTGGCCAGGTTGGGCCAGGAGATTGTGGGGGGAGATGTGGCAAGCTATGCGTCTATCAGCTACGCCAGCCAGAGGCCTGGGGGGTGGTAACCATGATCTCGCTGTGAAATTGGAGCATGAGGCTACAGTGAGCCTGTGAAATTTGGCCCTGGGCACTACAATCTGAGTATATCCTCACTGATGGGCACTGCTTTTGGCACTGTCTGTCATGAAAGCCCTACCATGCCTAACAGCACCGCCCCCACCAATGAAGCCACTCACTGTGGTGACCTGCAGTGTGCACAGCTGCAGGACAGATCTCTGCAAGTGCCAGTTACTCTCCTTCTGAGGGAGGGTACTCTGTGCTTTTCCTGAAGGAGATCAGCTGGTGGCTGGAGTAGGGAGAAAGGGTCTACTTAAGACACCTCATGGAGACATTCTGTGCGGTGGCAACTCTGTTCTCTCCAAGCCTGCAACCAGAAGTCCTTCTTGCCTTTGAGGTGGTACTGGGCTGCCTGCTTTGTCTCTTGGTCCAAATACAGGGGCTTATCCTCAACTTAATGGATATTTACGACCTTGTGTGTGACCTGCAAATGATTGGTTTCTATCAGCAGGTAGCTACCTACCTCAGGACCCTGATCCCTCATGAGTGCCTGGTTCTCAGCAGGGACTTTAATGTCACCCTTGAGGCACAGAACCACACTGGCAGAGAGTGGAGCTGGGCCACTGGGGACATCCTCAGCAGGGTCATTGTTAATCATTCCCTGATGTACATCTGCTGTTCCCACCTCCCTGGCTACACCACCACCGTCACCTTTGTCAAGGTGGAGGAGCAACAAACACGTTACTCCTGGCTGGACTGAATCTTCATCTCTATGTTAATGCCCAAGACCACACCTCTGCCATTAGGCCAGCTCCCTTTAGCAACAACTATATAGTGTACAGGCCGTCCTCAGACTTACAACACGATTGGTTCCTGAAAACTGTCTTAAGTCGACGCGTTGTAACTTGGAATCAATTTTCCCACAGGAAACTATATTATAAATGGGGGATCGATTCCTGAACTAAGGATTAATACCCTATTTTCACTAAAAATAACCAAGAATTTTGTACTCAAATCAATTATAGATGAGTAATATTGTTGGCTACAAAGCACCAACTCACAGGATCATCATTAAATTCGAGTTTATTGGACAGATACAAAAGTCAGACCATAAAACTTGGTGCTGATCCCCTCAAACACACACACATTCACGCGCACACACACACACACA